TAAGTTCGTAAATGGGCCATGTAGGTCCACGTTTTCATATAGCCCCCATATAACGGTACCTCCCGATATTCGATATTGTGGTGATTTTTGCGACATTAATCATCGGAATTGTTTTAAATTTGGTATTTGAAGTTCGCAATGAATACTACAGCATAATGAAAAAATTTGTCGGTGCAGGTCCACGTCTTCGTATAGCCCCCATATAACGGTACCTCCCAAAATTCGGTATTTTGATGATTTTAGCGTCATTATACACCGGAATTGTTTCAATTTATGTATTAAGAGTTCGTAATGGGAACTACAGTCTGTGACAGAAATTTGCCTATGCAGGTCCAGGTCTTCGTAAAGGCTCCATATATCAGTACCTCCCTATATTCGGTATTTTGACAAGTTTAGGTACAATACCCACCGAAATTGTTTGAGATATCGTATTTGACGTAAGTAATGGATGCTATAGCCTGTGACAGAAAATTGTCTATGCTGGGCCAGGTCTTCGCACAGCTCCGATATAACCGTACTCCCTATATACGATATTTTGATGATTTTAGCTACATTATTCACCGTTTATTTCAAGTTTCGAATTTGAATATGGTAATGACTAATGGCAAACAATGCCTAGGTAGGTCCACGTCGTATAGACCCCAATATAACGGCTATATTCGGTATTTTTAAAATTTTAACAGAATGTTTTAAGGATTTTATTTTTTGAAAATTTCCAAATACGTTCCAAATGGTGGAGGGTATTCAAAGTTCGGCCCGGCCGAACTTACTGCTTTTTTACTTGTCTTTTTCACTTAACACCGTGCAAACCGTGCAATTAGTAACAGCGTATATTCCAATATTTTTCGTATTTTTTGTAGCATGCATTTTTAAAAACCGTACCATTTTGTACTTTTTAGTATTGTGTAAAAAAGCTTTGGTCTTTTTGCAGGGGCCATAGTGAGTCAGGCAGGAAATTACGTTATTCTTGTATTATTATATATTTATTTTTCGTTGCCATAAATAGAATTCTCAACACCAGACAGAAATAATCAAAAAGATAATCTATGAAAAATGTATTCATTTATTTCTTCTAAGTCCTATTGCTTCCCACGTGAAATTAGTATCACGTCAATCAGATATGAAATAAAATCTATATTGTGCAGGTCAAGCCTAGAGACGTCAATAATTATCAAACTAAAAAATAATTAAAAAATCTTCATTTTCACTCAGGAATGTTCAAAATCTATAAAATAAAAAAAAATATATGAGATAATTATACATTATTTTAAGCCTTCTCTTATTTCTATGTATTATACCCTTTATCGCTAATTGCAGAATTCAGCATACCTATTTCCACTCAAAAGTTAAAAAATTTCTTTTGAAAAAGGAACGAATTGCTGCCATATCTTTATTTAGACATCACAAGAACTTGACTTGTGTGTTTCTTTATTTGAATTGACTTTCTTTTCTTTCCCAGCATTTCTTCGAATATTACCTTGACAATTGTTGAGCAATTTCATGCGTAAATCATTGATTTTTCTTTCAACCTCATACCACCAAACCCCCACACTCCACTGGGACTTTCGTTTCACCTTTGAATATCGAGACTCTGTTTTAGCTTTACTTAAATACCCAACATCTTGCAGTACCCCATGCTACTACCGCCTCCCCCAAGGCCTAAGAAGAGTCATATTAATTTTCCATTGAAAATGTCAATGGAAATTGAGAGATTTCATTTTGTTGTTATTTATTTACCATTTTAATATCAGCAATGTTGCTGTCGCTGTCGTCGTCGTCCGTGCACGTCCTCACCACTCTCTTCTCCATAATTCCAAGAGATAAATTTCAATTTATAGAAAGTTTTAAATTTAATTTCATTTTTATGCTTTGTTATTGCCAGCGTCAATGTGTTTTCTTGTAGTTGTTGTTTTTGCTGCTGCTTTATTCCTGCTCATTTACGATTTATATGTTTGCTACGCTGAAAGTAATACTGCCGCGTGTTAGTCGTCACGGTTCTCCTAAGCCCGTTTGTGAATATTCCGTTCATTTATTTAAAAGAATTTGTTGTAATTCGCCGGATTTGCATAAGTTTGTTGTACAATTTAGAGAGAGAGAGAGCAAAAGAAATCGGTAGCAATTTTACAAAAACAAAAATATAGGCAAACACATGAAAAAATGTCATGGGGAATGTAGTGTTGAAAAACTAACGACAATAAACCGGTTACTTACGCTAAGATGGTATTCAAGGACAAGAAAGGCCTTGAAACCTTAACGAGATCTGATATTTACATAAGAGCTAATTAAGGGTGGACACCATGCTTTATATACAATAGAGAGCTTTTACGAGTTCGTCCAATCTATAAGAGGAACGTTTATAGGTCCTCTAAGCCTATAGGCTTAGTTCGCATTATATGGGTACCAGGTCATAACGGAGTTAGAGGTAACGAGATAGCAAACTCTCTCGCAGTAAACTTAGACAATTCACTGCCGCTAAATGCGTCACGTCTAATGTTAAAGACATGGGCAAAAAACGCTCATATATCCTTATGAAACGAAGAGGGCGTGGGGTGATCCAAATGAGATAAAAACGAAAAATCTTTTATTTCTAGGCAATAAGGAGATCAGTGAGATGACAGGCATCCTTACGGGCACCGGGGGCTTAAAGCTCATCTATACAAGATAGGTTGCACAGATAACAGCATATGAAGTGCGTGGAGGGAAGATGACGAAACATTGGAACATTTTTTCTGTATATGCCCAGTGTTTGCTAATATCAGAGCCCAATTCTTAGAGAGCGACACTATACCAGACCTTAGTCGGATCATGGTAAATGATATAAAACAGTTAAAGAATTTCATAAAGGCAACAGAATTTCAAATATAACAGACTTAACTGCACGTCTTCCTCGGTAAAACCCCTCTGACTAGAGCGCACAACAGGCCTATACTGGCTTAAGTGTATGCCCAACAGGGCTTGCGGCGAAATTGAGTTCGCCCCTCTTTTTCAACCTAACCTAACCATAGGTCCTCTATCTTAATATGAGACCATTACGAGGTCTTCTATTGAAATTAAAGACCACTAAGAAGTCTTCTATTCCAATAGCAGCTCGTTGGGAGGTCTTCTATTCCAATAGATGACCGTTAAGAGGTCCATTGATAGGTCTTATATTTCAATAGCAGACCATTGATAGGTCTTCTATTCTAATAGAAGACCGTTAAGAGGTCTTCTATTCCAATAGCACACCATTGAGTGGTCTTCTATTTCAGTAGCAGGCCATTGAGAGGTCTTCTATTCCCATAACAGACCATTAGGGCTTGCGGCGAAATTGGGTTCGCCCCTCTTTTTCAACCTAACCTAACCATAGGTCCTCTATCTTAATATGAGACCATTACGAGGTCTTCTATTGAAATTAAAGACCACTAAGAAGTCTTCTATTCCAATAGCAGCTCGTTGGGAGGTCTTCTATTCCAATAGATGACCGTTAAGAGGTCCATTGATAGGTCTTATATTTCAATAGCAGACCATTGATAGGTCTTCTATTCTAATAGAAGACCGTTAAGAGGTCTTCTATTCCAATAGCACACCATTGAGTGGTCTTCTATTTCAGTAGCAGGCCATTGAGAGGTCTTCTATTCCCATAACAGACCATTAGGAGGTCTTCTATTCCACTAGAAGACCATTAAGGGGTCTTCCATTCCCAAAACAGACCGTAGAGAGGTCTTTTTTCCCAATAGCAGATCATTGATAAGTCTTCTATTTCACCAGAAGACCATTAAGAGGCCTTCCATTACAATAGCAGACCGTTGGGAGGTTTTCTATTTCACCAGAAGAATCTTGCAATGTCTTCTATTTCAATGGAAGACCATAGAGAGGCCTTCTATTCCACAATAATACCATTAAGATGTATTCTACTCCAACAGGAGACCAATAAAGGCAGACTCTTACGAGGTGTTCCACTCCAAAAGAAGACCGTTAGGGGGCCTTGTATTTTAATAGTAGATTATTGAAGCGTCTTCTATTCTACCAGAGGTCTTCTATTCCACCCGAATACCATTAATAGGTTTTCCATTCCAATAGAAGAGGTTTTCTGTTCTAATAGAAGACCATTGAGAGTTTTTATATTAGGAATATAGAACCGTTAAGAAGTCTTATATTCCTATAGAAAACCGTTAGTATGTCTTATATTCCAATAACAGACCATTGCGATGTCTTCTATTCTATCAGAAGACCATTAAGAAGTTTCCATTCCAATAGCAGACCGCTGAGATATCTCTTATTCCAATAGATCCAATATCAGATCATTAAGAGATCTTCTATTCTAAAACAGACACTTGCGGGGTCCCATATGAGGTATTCTTTACTGATAGTAGACCCGTGTTATATTCTTTATGAAGTCTTCTATTCCAATAGAACACTCTTACGAGTATTATATTCTAAAACATTAGCCAGTGTTTTTATTCCAATGAAAGGCCATTGTTTGGTCCACTATTCTCATAGAATACCCTTTGATACCTCATATTGTAAGGGAAGAACAATTACCAGGTCTTTGATCTCCTTGGACGTGTTCAATATCTTTAAACGTAACAGAAACATTGGAAAAATGAATGCCTCATCGAGCTCGTTACATCACTAGCTTTCTAAACAAACGCGGAAATAGCTGTCACTGGTAGGGGCAACACAATGCTGCTGTTTGCTCCAGTTCATGCTAGGATTTAGTCAAAGTCTCAATCATAAAAAAATCTAATTTAATTTTCAACTTTTGCCTCGTACTTCCTTTGTCACTTCAAGCCATTCCGGCACATATCGATGGCATTGTGGCTCCCCCAACCTCTCTCACTATGATAATATCCCCTTGAATCTGTTTGGTTTGCATAACCATCCCCACCCTCTTTAATACCATTCTAATTTAATGTTTGTATTTTCCTTTCGCTTCGCATTCATGTTCTGCTGTTCGTATGTTTTCTATTTTCCCTCTTTTTCATTGTTTCGTTTTATTTTTTTTTTCGTTTTCTTTGCAGGACTGGGCCTTACGCAGCGAAGAGCAAAGTCTCTTAATTGAACGTATTTTGGTTTTAATACGAAACGTGCTTCAAGTGCCCGCAAATCCTGAGGCTGAGTGCCGGGCCGATAATGATGCCAGCGTTCATGATCAGGTCATTTGGGCATTACATCAATCGGGCATTTTGGATTTGGTCTTGTTCGTTATTTCATCGCCCGATGAACATCAATTCCATCTGCATTGTCTGGAGATATTGTGTCTCCTTTATCGTGAACTGGTAAGTGAGAGCAGAAAAGTAGCCTCGATGCACTTGTAACAATCCTATCAAACTTCGACTGCTCGTCTAAGGTTAATTAATTGCGTTGTTGTAATAAGTTGAAGTCATGTGATGAGAGTTTTGAGTGTGTGTATGTGTGCGTGAAACATTGTTAATGATATTGATAAAGTATAAGAAATTATTTGTTACCAAGTAAATACATACACCATTTCCAATTAAAAATCATGTACTGTTTAAAGAATGAGAAAAATTAGAAGTTAGAAAATTTTTAATGGATTTAAATCTGTAAAAGTCTTCTTAAATGTCCTTTTATCTTTAGAAATTCTCTCGAAGACCATTTAGATATGGTCCTCTAAAGATGCATACCTTTACAGTTTTTTTAGTAAAAGTCCTCCTCTGCTGTTTGTAAAATAGTTTCAAAGATCTTTTGGGCTTTCTATGTATAAAAGACCTTGTGAAGGTCTTCTATGTGTGAAAAACCTTTTAAAGGCCTTCTTCTTCAATAAAATATATGTATAGAAGACCTGGTAAGCATCTTCTGTGTATAGAAGTTGCTTCGAGGATGTCCATAAGGATCCACTAATTTACTAAGAAAGGGCGAATATTTCCCTCTCATGGGTATTGAATCGGATAGGGTTCTTCGAGCGAATTTTGCTCCCACTCGAAGACAAGCAAAGCCTACTTTCCCTTCTTCAAGTGACATAGAGAAACAGAGTTGATCTTTCTCTTTATTTACTCGCAGGAGTATTCCTGCTCGAACTCGAGTTGAAAGTAGAACTCGCTCGCATTTCAGATCTATTAATTATATTAATGTGGCTATAATAGACATTGTGGCGAATTGACTTCGAATATAATCGAAATGTCTGATGTTGCTGCACGGGTGATTTATAGGAACTCAAATCCTCTGGGTAAATGGACTGGACACTAACCTGTGATTAATTTAAATTTACCAACTACTCCTTGAGCTACTCTGCTGCAGTGGAAAACAGACAATCAAAAAACGAGCCAAAGCCACTATTGTCACAAAGGAAATTTTCAAAAAAATCCTTGAAGAAATCCTTATAAAAATAATAGGCCTATACGAAGACGTGGACCTTTACAGCGAGAGATGGAAAAACTGCAACCAACTTCAGACTGTTGCCATTTCTAAGCCACTCGTCCGACAGCTGTTAAAATTAAACCAGTGACAGGTCATTATATTGTTTACAAGCGTACAAAAGCATTTGGTTGAGCATTTTCCAGGAAAAAAGTTATTCGTGATGGAATTCAAGCGTGATAGGGTGATTTCTTTATATTTGGCTGGGAAACCACAAGTGGCTATGGTTAGAGCACTCTAGCATTTAAATATGAATAAATCTTTGGTTATACCCTCAGCCATATGGCTACAGAGGGTATATACAATTTGATAGGTCAAAACGTGCCTAGTCGAAATAACGGTTTTAGAGTTTTGGAGTCGATCTAGCGATGTCTGTCCGTCCGTCTGTCTGTCTGGCTGGTGCGCACGATAACTCTCGAATGGAGTATCCGATTTGGTCCAAACTGGGTACATCGTAATATTTTTGTTAAACTTAGATCGAGTTCGGAGATGGGCAATATCGGTCCACTCCTTCTAATACCTCCCAAATATTGAAAAATGAGCTCGTGGTAAAGCCATTGAAATTCCAAAAAGTGCAAGAACTTACACTTCAACAGAATGAAAATAGAATCAAAAAAGCTAAAGATTTGCTTCGCTTGGCCGAAAGTGTACTGCCGAATTTGGTTTTCTCCGATGAGAGGTATATTAAAGCCTTGGACACGCAAACATTTTGGCCACAGACCTTGGACATTCCAACAGGACTCAGCACCATGTCACTTAGCACGCGCCACCCAAGAATGGTTACATAATGAGGTTCCTCGCTCCATTTGCAGCGCACAATGGCCACCAAAATCTACGGATACCAATTCGTTGGACTATTGTGTCTGGAGTATTATGGAAAGTAAGATTGGCACAAAAAGTGTGGATCACCTCAAGCAAGCGCTTTGCCGGAAATGTGCCAAAATTCCGCAGAGCAACATTCGGGCAGCATGTGACGGTTTCATTGGCCGTTTGAAGGCCATAATTCGTGCCAAACTTGACCAATTCAAACAAATCTAAACTTATTCTAAAATTTGATGCTATTTCCGATATTTTTTGCGCTCATTCAGTAACATTAAAAAAATGTAAAGATTATGGCGATTGATTTTGTTGCCGTTTTTTTATCTCACCATGTATGTGATCAGCACCATCGAGTGTATGAGAATTGTTCCTCTTGTGAGAAGTAACGGCAAATCGATGGTAGCAGAATGTTGAGTTGAGCTGCTGCTTAGAAAACTATGGCTGGACGCAACCTGCATAGATTGGGTCCACAACGATACTGGTGTTAGTTGAGTAAGTTTGGCTGGGCAGTGAAAGAGGTACAGCGTATCATGTGGGCCTGGACCAAATGCTTCGCTGGTGTTCTGCACATTGCTGTCAATCCGGTCCCAATACGAATTGAGGCGGCTGCACCATACCGATCTTGATTGTGATAAAACTACTCGGGTTTGTCGGGGTAGCTCTCGCTATTTAGTTGCGATGGGAATGGGATAGTCTACGACTATAATATTCACTCTATGTTCCTCCATGAATTGTGAGATAGAGTGAGTACCACTCAGTCTTGCTTGATCTAGAGGCTCTCTCTCTCTCTTATACCTCAATACCTCTCTCTCTCTTTAGATCATGAAATTATTTCCTTCCGTGCCTGGGCGGAGCTTGCCTATCCACCAGATGGTGATTGGGATGACTCTGCTGTTTTAGCAAACAAGCAAGTATGGCAATGTCGCACCGGTAAGACTTACTCTTCTTCATGTAGATGGTCGAAAGGTGCCATGAGGAGACACTCTGTAGCGGTTTTAAGGCAGATGTTCTGGGAGGTCTGAATATTTTTTTTCGGGAGGTCTGAAAATTTCTCGTTGGAGTCGCATAATTTACCTCAGACCGGCCAACAAGGTTTCCTTATCAGTTCCCCAAGTGCTACCAGCAAGAGTCTTCAGAACCTTGTTCTTATTTCTGATCGTATCGCAGATGGCTGTGGTATGCGCGGAGAATTAAAAAGGCTATTATATTTGACTTCTAAGACCTTGCGGTAGTTGATAGACGGAATTGAAACAATACCTACACATTCAGTGATAGTCTCATCTTTGCTGACCATGTTGTGCATGGGTAGTCTGATGTCTTATGTACGTGGCATTTTGTCTACGCCAGAGTTCCGAAATGAGAGCAAACTTCATTCTCTATCCGAATCCGACTGAGAACACTTCGAGCAGATTCGACTCTTAAAGTCATAGCGTGAAATTAAACAAAAACAGAATAAATTGTCGCCAATCTCTACCAACAAACCATAGAATACTGCGGTGGCCTTTGTTGTTTTTGCTCAAAATTTACTGGCCCTTTGTTAGACCTGTTTCTACTTTTTTTCTAGTCTTAGCTTTTGTACACGATCATCCGCCCAGTCCACAATAATATCAACACCGGTTTGCTATTACACCCACACCAGGACAGAAAATAAAAAAAGTTTTTTTACACGACTTCACTCTTCGAGTAAAGTCTGACTCTATTTCGAACAGTTGGACTGTCACTATTAGGTATTAGTTTTCTACTTTTATTGAAGATCTAATAAAAGGAGTTTTATATGCGAAAAACCTTTCAAACTGTTTATAGAAGGCATTTATTAAAAATCTCCCAATGCCCTCATATAGGTCTCATATGATGACCTTAAAAATACACTCATTTCTTCTCCTTCACACAACTCTAATCTTAAATCCCACGAAGATGTTTCTTTCTTTCAGACAATTTTCCTCTTAACAGACGTCCTTGACTTCAGCGCTTGGCTTAATTCCAAAATTCATCTAAACTTCAGACTAAAACATATAAATGCAACAGCAACAAGAAACATGAGAGTTGCAAATACTGGCGGCAAATCAAATCAGTCAAAATCACATAATGCATTCCAAGAATAAATTCGACTGCCCTGCACGACATTGAATGATTTTTTTCGCAGAAAAATAAATTCTAAACATGTGATGGGTACGGCTGGGGCGTATTTCTCATTTTTGGCAAGCATTGACAAATACAGCTCACATTGAAAAGAAAAAGGGAAGAGGTTGAGATTTATTTCATGAATGCGGGTCCAAAGCAATGCAATAAAAATCCTTTTGTGGCATTGTGGCTATCAGTGGGAGTGAGTGTTGGGGATGATATTCAAGCGGACGGCATACCGCACGCCTCCTTAATCACTCCTGCAAATTGTGAATCATCTTGTTGTGTTGAAGTCAAACATAAATCACGAAATCTTAATTTTCACACGAACATCAACCATATACCATACCAGCCATGGCAGTCGGGGTCGGATTGGTAAGACATAGTACATATGTATGCCTGTCTGACTTGTTTGGCTGCATTCAGACAGGCAGACAACGAGGAGTACATTCCTCCTTCCATTCACCGCTGTTCCTTGTGTCCTGCATTGTTTGTTTGTGTTTGCTATTCAAGTTCAGTCTGTTTATGATGGCATCTCGACTCCAATTTGATGGCCACAAAACATTTCAATTACGTTACAATTTTCAGCTAGATTTTCGTTTTGAGGGTCGGTCGGGTAGCTTTCACCGCAAATAAGAAGATATGCAGCGCATATGCGGTATTAAAAAGACGAAAAAAGAAAAACAAAAATTTGAATTCCATAGCGAATTGAATGGTATTTGTATGGGAATTTGGTTAACTAGATACTGGGTACGTAATCTGGCTTTAACCATTGATAATTGCGAACGATGATGGTTGGTATTCAGTGTTCCGTTAAAATTTCAATGTTTTTGAAAAGCAATTAAAAGGGACTTTACAGAGATGATCCATTGGCTTACGATATTCTTGAGAATACATTCGTATTTTTATGTAATATTAATCCTTATGTTTTATGCCCTCTCAAAGCTTTAGGGTTTTTTTTTTTTTTTTTTTTTTTTTTTGAAACAATTTTTAGTTGTGGAATTTAACTTGGCACCCATAATTTATATCCTTTTTTTAAATTACATTTTTTTTTGATTTAACAGCGATAGTTTTTATACCCCACAATGATCGAATCCACATGTCTTAAAATGGACTTCGTTTAAATACACATGAAGTTTAGAACCGTTTTTCCCGGGACCCTATTTTATGATATGCAATAAGTTTAAGGATACGCAAAATAATGATGTTAAATAGATACGACTTATGTTAAGAAGAGACGAGAAAAGTTCAATCTGCCTTTCATTACAAACATCATATTTCAAATGTCAAATCCTTATTTTTTTCGGCGGAACAACTTTAGTTTAGTAAAACTGAGATTTTATATGTTTTTTTCCATTTTTATATGTTTTTTTCCAGAGGTAGATATTTATACTCAGATTTCGGAAAAATACCTTTTTCTTGGATATTTGACCCGAAAATCCGGGTCCAAGACCCGTTTTACATCCGGATCAATTAAACCGATGTAGGTAAAGCTAATGAAAATAAATATCCGACAAATGTTCACATGATGGGGTTATTTAAAACGATTCGGGAATTATATCAAAGTTAACGATTTTTTGGAACCGAAAAAGGACCTATTTTGAGAGTCCATTAAATGTTATGGCCTTCGGTCGGGGCTTGAGATATTCTACTCCGGCTACGCGTACAAAATTCTTTCTAAAATGAGTTATTTTTTTATCTAGCCTGATTTCGACAGTGGCTTGAGATTTGAGGTTTGTCCAATACCGGATGCCTGAAATATAACTTTACAGGGTGAGATAAAAAACTGCAACGAAGTCAAAAACCATAATTTTTACATTTTTTTTAAATTATATTGAATAAAAGCAAAAAATGTCGGAAATAGCATCAAATTTAAGAATAAGTTTAGATTTGTTCGAATTGGTCACCTTTGGCACGAATTATGGCCTTCAAACGGCCAATGAAACCGTCTCACGCTGCCCAAATTTTGCTCTGGGGTATTTTGGCCTGTTTCCGGCGGAGCTCTTGCTTGAGGTGATCGACACCACTTTGGTATTTTTTAATACCAACCTTGCTTTCCAAAATACTCCAGACACAATAGTCTAACGGATTAGTATCCGAATATTTTGGTGGCCATTGTGCGCTGGAAATGAAGCGAGGAACTTCATTTTGTAACCATTCTTGGGTGGCGCGAGCTGAGTCCTGTGCCGCACCCTCCAGAATATTTTCGTGATAATATTCGGCATTTATTTTGGTCGATTAATGCGAGCGGAGAGCGACCATCGGCTGTTATGGCGGCCCACACCATAACCATGGCCAGCGCTCGAGTTCTGGTGGCGAACCGAAGGTGCACATTTTAAGCGAACCTCTTTGAGATAATTTGGTTTGTTTACAAACTGCTGGACAACGAATGTTTTTTTCATCGGAGAAACCCAAATTAGGCAGTTCACCACTTTCGGCCACGCGAAGCAACTCTTTAGCTCTTTTGAGTCTATTTTCTTTCTGTTGCAGTGTAAGTTCTTGGGCTTTTTTGGCATTTCAATGGCTTTACCCCGTGCTCATTTTTCAATGTTTGCCAAAAGGAATATTGCGATATGTTCAGCTCACGAGCCATTTTTCGGCCACTGCGACGCGGATTTCGATCAAGTCGCTTCTTTACTTTTCGAAGCATTTCCAGTATCACGGTCACGAACGATGGTACGAGACACAAAAGACTTATTCACATTTAAACGCTGGAGTTCTCTAACGATAGCCACTTGTACTTTCTATACATTTCTAACAAAAAAATATCGAATCATTTTCCGTTTCATTCAGAAACGCTGCGATTAAAGACTAAAAAAGTAGTATTCCGACAGGAGTACATATAAACAAGTAAGCAAAGGCTATAGTCGTGCGGGGCCGACCATGTGATACCCTACAACACTACCATATGTTAGAAGCTCCCTTATGTCCAAATCCATTTTGGAAGATTTCGCTTTTGAAATTAGGATTTTGACTTTTTGACATTTGCCAAATATTTATTAACTCCGTCGAGCTGTTAGTTGTTGTGGTCCATTTTACAGCTAAATATAATCCAATCCATAGCTAGAATTCTTCCCTGTCCTTAAGTCTCTTCACAGACGTGTCGATTTTTTGGTTAATTTGAACACCTAAATATTTTGCAATCATCTCCAAAAGCACGAAGCCCCTCTGTATCTCCAAATTTAGACTCATCTATATGATTTGCTTGTCTACGATATTTGGCTATATTCGTCAACGAAATCAGCATAAAAAATCCAGAAGTTAGCCTTTTGTGTATTTCGTATATCGCCTGTAAGTAATGCTTCCTTCCTTTGTATATACACATTGTATATATTTCACTATATATAACCGATATATTTACTATCGGCATCTACGTAACGGTCAGAATTGACCTGTTCGTCTATTTGAGATTTCGCCGGTATTAAAAATATTCGCGATTTAATGGAAAATTTGACTTTTATTTAACACAAATGTTGTGGCCTATTTCACCCACTAAATATTGCCCGATGACCATCAAGATCTAGCCCCCTGCTAAGATCTAGCCCCCTGCTAACTTTTGCGTCGATTGGTCTATAATTGCGACCTGTAGAGCAACTGCAAAATCAGGAGTTTTTTCTGTTTTTGGTCCATTTCAACCCCTAAATATTATGCGATAATCTCCAAAAGAAATAGGGTTCTATTCTGGCCCTAGCCCCACCTCCATACTAAATTCCGTGAAGATCGGGCCATAATTGCGACCTGTAGAGTGATTACAAATTAACATGGACAGACGGACGGACAGATGGACGGACGTACATACATAGCTAGATCGACTCAGCTCGGCGAGATAGGAAGATCCATATATACTTTCCTATGTGGGAATCAAATATTTCGAGGTGTTACATAATTTTTGGCCCAATCAAACTTATAATAACCTCAACACATAGTGTTGTAGGGTATAAAAATTGGATTATATTCTGTTTTTCTTTGTCATTTTAGCTTAGCTCGACTTGGCGTGGGAGTGAAATTGGCTTGAATCGAACAGATTCTACTCTCACATAGCACCTTTTAGTCATACCATTTCATGACGTTGTTTGATCTGTAAGTTTGTTGTTTTTTTTTTCAAACCGGCAAATGAAACGTATATAAATACGTTGATGAGCATTGTCGCCAGTATCTACCAACAAAGTATATGACAGATATACGACAATGATTAGGGATGGGCGAAGGGACGTGTAAGATAGCCCCTTCCCATCCCTACTCCTGGTCCAAAGCAAATTCAAGACACATACAAATTGGCAAACTGTTATTCTTAGTTTTCAAACAGGCGCACGTGCGCTCGAGAACTCCGCTTACGAACGTTCTCCACTCGCAAATAAAATCGAACGTATCGGACCTTTAAATGTCGTGAGTCCAGTTAAAGGTCTCCATTGGCCTGTTAAGACATCTTCTGGTTATATTTCTTGGATTAATTAATTAAAATTCAGGCATTACTTGATGTTCATATTTTCTTAAAATTATCACACCACCTACTTTGAAAACATTGCAGGCAATGATGTTTTCTCTCATAAACTAGTCTTATTTGAAACCCCGGCTGCTTCAAATATCTTAACACACACACTCAAGTAGCACCCACACATGTGTTCACAGTACGGCACGACATGCAAAGATGTTCCCTACTGTTGTGCTGATGTCGTCCTCCTTTATTGAATTATATTTTGATTCTAATTTTGTCTTGTACTTTTTCTTACCTCAACATCTCTTCTAGTCCCTACATCCTTTTTAACATTTTTTTTTTTTGCTTATGCCATTTTTCCTTTGTCATCATTCCACATAGACTGCCGAAAATCTTGCTGATGCCTCATTGCAACGCAGCGTCAGTGAAAAACAACGCGACGAACAGGAACTGCTGGCAGCCAGGCGCCGAGAGAAACAACGTACATCGACCAAACCGCCGCCAGGACGACACTCACGTTTCGGCGGCACGTATGTAATACGTAATCTGAAATCTGTCTCGGATCGGGATATTATCTGCCATCAGCCGTTGGAACGTGTTACATCGATTGATTTCGATCGTGAGAAGCAACAGCAGAAGCGTTCGTTTCGTCACATCCGTGAAGAGGCTCAGGTGACGCGACGCAGTGCCTTTTCGGTGCGGTAAGTAAAATAAGAGTAATTGGATTTTGAGCTTGAATTGAATTTCGTACAAAAAAAAAAAACATTTCCTGCCTATGAGTGGTCAGCAAATGGAAAACCTTTATCAGAATTAATAGTCTCGAAAGAAATTTGTGTTTTCGCATGGACAATAGCATCTTTGCCTCTTGGCCTTGATGTGTACAGAAATTTTATTAGTTTCTCATGTGCTGGAAGCCAAAAAATGCCAACATGAGCAATTCGTGTCTAGACAACTACGCATATTGCTATTTTTGTGAATTATTTATTTGTGCGAATTATTTTGCTTTTATTTCGTAATGCCACACTTCCGTTCCAGACATACGTGTGACGGTCTGTGGATGCCTGCAAAATTTAGCTTTATTTCATATGTGTTTGGTTTTCATTAAAATCCATTTACAAGTTCAAAATTTGGATTGTGCCTTTTACGATATTTTAGAGACCATCTTTAGAAAAGGAGCTTTCATATGCATAAAAGTTTTTTCTATCTCTATATACAGGGTGAGATAAAAAACTGCAACAAAGTCAAACGCCCTCATTTTTAAATGTTTTATTTTTTATTTTATCGAATGAAAGCAAAAAATGTGGGAAATAGCATTTAATTTTATAATAAGTTTAGATTTGTTCGAATTGGTCACCTTTGGCACATATTGTGGCCTTCAAACGGCCAATGAAATCGTCACACGCTGCCCGAATGTTGCTTTGTGGTATTTTGGCTCATTCCCGGCGAAGCGCTTGCTTGATACCCCAGACACAATAGTCTAAAGCATTGGCATCCGGAGATGTTGGTGGCCATTGTGTGCTGGAAATTAAGGGAGGAACCTCATTTTGTAACCATTCTTGGGAGGCGCATGCTGAGTGCGATGATGCTGAGTCCTGTTGGAATATCCAAGGTCTGCGGCCATAATGATTGCGTGCCAAAGGCTTTAATACACCCTCCAGAATATTTTCGCGATAATATTCGGCATTTATTTTGATGCCACACCATCACCATGGCCGGCGCTGGAGTTCTGGTGGCCAACCGAAGGTGCAAGAAATGCTTTTGTACGCTTGTAAACAATATGATGAGCTGTCACTGGAATAATTTTAACCGCTGTCGGGTGAGTGGCTTGGAAATGACAGCAGTCTGAAGTTGGTTGCAGTTTTTTTCATTTCACCCGTACCTACATTTAAGAGGTCTTCTTGAGCTTCTTTGCTCGAAAGTTGTTGCCTAGGGAGACTTCTACAGGCCTACTTTGGCTACAACCATTCTATAAGTTTCTTTTGGGTAAAAAATCTTTTAACTGTTATGACTGGAAAACCTTCAAAAGGAGATGTTTAAATATTTGTAAGGTCTTTAAAAGGCCTTTAGATATATTCTCTTGTTAGAAGGTTCTTCCTTCACGACTATAGTAGGTCTTTAATGTCTAGATATATTTTCGAAAGACTTTCTGAAGATGTTCTACAGCAAGATATTCTAAGATAGTTAGTCTATGGTAATGTTTTTTAGGACTTTTAGGGCAAAGAGGAGAAATAATATAAATTTAGATGGAATAGGAATCATATATCCATCAAAACTTTTACTGCAAATATTTTGCGGAGTCGATCCCACCGGCGAAGTCTTGAAAAATTGGTCTGAAGTCTCATTAAAAACGGCTGAGCTTCAAAGCCTTGGTAGAAAATTTATACGAAGACCTTTTTTTGTCTTTTGTCAGGCATATGGCTACAGAGAGTATATATCATTTGATACGGCCAAAACCTCGTGCCTCATCGAAATAACGGTTTTAGAACCTAGGTCTCTTTGGACCAAATCCGTTTCAGCATATTTGGTTTGTGCGCCCGTCCGTCTACCTGTGTGTCTGGCAGATAATTCTCGAAGGGAGTATCTGATTTGACATAAACTTGGTATATCGTATTATTTTTTAAAACTAAATCGAATACTGAGATGGCAACATCGGCACACTCCTTCTGGTACCTCCTCTACAAAAATTCTAAAATTTCAAAGAAAATAGTTGACCTACCTCATAGAAAGAGAAAGAATTATTCGATTTTGTGTAAACTTTGGAAAACCCAATATTTCTACCAACACATGATCTAATGCAAAAGCGGAATATATCGGAATATAAAGTCGTCTCTCTAACTAAAATTGAAATAAGAGTCAAATGGTCTTTAAATTTCATAAATCTAAATTCGTATACCAATATAAGATCTGGTATCAAGAATGGATCAATCCCTCCGGTACCTTCCCCACAACCATTCCAAATTTTGAATAACCATGACGCTTACAAAAAGTGAAATGCGCATCCGACGTGACATATCCTAATATTTCCACCAACACAAGGTTGGGTATGGAGATGGAATAGTGATCCTATAAAATGTGAAATATGAATTTGAATGTCTTCAAGTTTCGCACATCTCAATATTTTTATGAAGATGAAATATATCGAATAACTTCTTCTGGTACCTCCCCCACAAAGTGTCAAATGTTTTAATAATTATATCTCTCAGAAAATGCGAAATAAGCACTCGATTCTCTTTCATTTCATTTCACACATTGCAATATTTTTTATCTTCCACATTTCTGGTGTGAATATGATGGATAACGGTCCACCTCTTCTGGTAGCTTTCTCTCAAAGGGCCACAATTGGCAGTATTTTTATATCTCATAACTTTCGAAAAAAGTCAGTGATTCTTTTCATACTAGGTATTTTAAAATATCTCTTTCAACTAGAGATCTGATGTGACTAAGGAATCTGTGAGCCCACTCCTTCTTGGAAATAAATGTTAGATTTGTGTACATACCAAGTATAAGTTGCAGTGAAATGATTCGGTACCTCACGCATATTTCGACATGTCCCAAAAATTTTCACACATCTCAAAAATCTACATCAGACTTAGGTCAGATACGAAATGGACAATATTGGTCCACTTCTTCGGAACTTCCCCCACAAAAGGTTACCAGTTTGAATAACATAACGCAAGTCCGACGGTATACATCTGTCGACAAAACCTCCTGATACTATTTAAATTGTTTGTATTAAAACCAGATATACTTTCTAGATATTTAGATATAACATGTACTTCTGCTTGTATGTGCAGCACAATTTCTTTGCAGGAAACTATCTACTAATATGTCTAATATTTCTGACAAGGCCATGGTGTATTTGTGAATTACATATGTTAAATTTCCTCCAATATAAAATATTTTCTTCCGATTTTACATTACAAGAAGATATGTCTTCTTCATACTGTTATCTTGTCATTTTCCGGAGGCATGCATTTCCTATGGATGTGTGTTTGTGTGCGACATGTATATGCCTGTGTTTCCGAACACACTCAAGTCACAAACAAATGTCAAATGAAATTGTACATCTGTGTGTCTTCTCTGCATCTTCAAATGCATGCTCACACACCCTTGGACAAAAACTGTCCATGATTGACTTGTGGTTTTACACCTGTCTTTGTCAATGTCATCAACATTCACAACTACAGCTACAGCTGCCCGAATTCTACTCGATGACGACGCAAGGATGTAATTCTGTGTCAGGTGTTACCGACTTTCATAAGATTGATGCTTAGCTCGGATGAGTTTGTACTTGATATCATAATTTAAGTAATTGCAATCATACATCTTTAAATTTTGATTATGTGTTAGACATATTCAACACAAACATACATAGCTGTGACATTTGTTAAGTGCGTGTATATGTGTGTGTGTGTGTGATATACTAAAAATAGCAACGAAAATTTCTAGTAATTTCTTGGAATACATTTGGAAATTCCAGAAAACTGAAAATCTTTATAGGTGGAGGGAAAGAGAATTGAAAATGTCATATATTATTAATGAAGTAAATAAAGAAACTATTGTCAACACCTTGTCACGGCATGGATTTAATGTTGTGATAGAATATGCCCGTTATTCTTAAGAATAAATGACCTTTTGAGATATCCAGTACATCGAAGACCCTTAGGGGATGTCTCTGTAGAGAATAATTTTTATATCGCGATCTTTTGTGAACAAAATTCCATCTTCTGGTCATCCATGGATAAGAAAGATCTAAGAGGCCTTTAATGAATGGAAGACCTATATATGGTATACCCTTAACAAATATTTTGTTGATAGAAGAGCTCTAAAGTGTCTTATCTGGAAAAATTAATTAAGTGATTTTTTTTGATTAGAACAGTTCGAAGTGGTATTATAATGACTGCAGACATGTATGACTGGGTCTTTTGGGGGTGAAAAATCATTACATGTACTTATACGGAGGCAATTTTATGGAAAATAATTACGAGTACTTGTACGGATGGACCTTCTTCAAGATGTCTTATATGGATGTATGAGCATCGTCAGGTCTTTTATAAACACAAAAGGTTTTCTATAAATAGAAAACAAAAAGATTTTCTTTAAATAGAACAAGTAAAAAAACATTAAGTTCGGCCGGGCCAAACTTTTAATACCCTCCACCTTAGGGTAAAAGAAACATTAGAAGAAATGCGGCAAAAACCATTGAAATGCCGAATATCGGGAGGTACCGTTATATGGGGGCTATACCAAATCATGGACCCATACATGCAATGTTTCGCCACCGGAGCTGGAAACCATTATGACCCACAAATACCAATTTTTAGACAAATCCGTGAAAAAATGTGGCAAAAACCATCATATACCGAATATCGGGAGGTACCGTTATATGGGGGCTATACCAAATCATGGACCCATACATGCAATGTTTCGCCACCGGAGTTGGAAACCATTATGACCCACAAATACCAATTTTTAGACAAATCCGTGAATAAATGTGGCAAAAAAACTAAAATACCGAATATCGGGAGGTACCTTTATATGGGGGCTATACCACAACGTGGACCTATACATGCAATGTTTTGCCACACGCTCAGGGACCCGTTATGACCTACTAATACCAATTTCCAGACAAATCCGTGAAAAAATGTGGCATAAATCATCAAAATACCGAATATCGGGAGGTACCGTTATATGGGGACTA